TTCGCCACGTAGTGCATGCCTCGATGCAGAAGGGGAGTGTATGTCAACTACTTTAGGGCCCCGCTTGCTTTATACCATTTAGGGTGTCAGGGTGCTAGGGCGTTACGGTGCCTAAACCCTATTTAGGGTGTTAGGGTTAAACCTAAACCCTAAACCCGAAACCCTAAACCCCAATCCCTAAATCCGAAATCCTAAACCCTAAGCCCTAAACCCCAAACCCTCAAATCCTAAACCCTAAACCCTAAACCCTAAACCCTCCTAAACCCTCAACTAAACCTTAAGCTCGACGCCCTTTAGGAAACCCTCGTCCTCGAGCACAAGCGGAGCGAGGCAATGAAGTTCATGGACGACTGGGCGCGTGTGCTCGGCGCGGAGCTAGATTACCCTAAACCCTAAACCCTAAACCCTAAACCCAGATGGGTCATACCCGGTCAGAATCTCAAGGGTTTCGAACCCTAGTTGGCGGAGCTTGGGGTTACAGGTCAACCCTAATCCTAAACCCGAAACCCCAAAACCTCAAAGCAGCCCTACACCCTAAACCTTAAACCTTAAACCGCCAACTCTAATCACTAAACGCTCAATTTCAACTTTACACTTTAAAATCTACACCCTGTCCCCCTGAAGTCAGAGCCTTGGAACTGAGACCCTCAACACAAGCCAGTGGGTGGGTTGCAGGGTTTAGGGTTTAGGGTTTGGGGTTTAGGGTTTGGGGTGGGGTTCAGGGGTTAGGGTTTGGGGTCTCTAGGGTCGGGATACCCAGACACTCCACATCTAGTACAAGTTGCTCTGTGAGCAATCGCCCCGAAGCATGGTCCATCTCCGGTCTTACAAGTACATGGTTCGGGCTTAGCACCCTTCAACGTTTCGGCATTGTAGCGTCCGAGCCTCAACCAAAACCCTATCAGTCGGTTCAGGGTTCAGGGTTCAGGGTTCAGGGTTCAGGGTTCAGGGTTTAGGGTTCAGGGTTCAGGGTTCAGGGTTTAGGGTTCAGGGTTCAGGGTTCAGGGTTTAGGGTTTAGGGTTTGGGGTGAAGCCATAAACCCTCAGACAAAAGCCTGGCAGCCATGGTTGCTGAACGAGGGACCCTGCATGGCCAAGCTCCAAGCCCCACCCCCCCGACCTGCAATATGACGCGCTTCCTTCCCCGCCCACCCCCCCCCCCCACCCCCCAGAGCCGCAGGAAAGTCCCCTATCCCGACCCGCAGGAAAGTCTTCTATATGCCAGCTTCCTTCACCCCCCCCCCCCCCCACCCGCCCCGACCTGAAGGAAAGTCCCCTTAATGACCCGCTTCCTTCCCCCCCCCACCCCCCCGACCCGCAGGAAAGTCCCCTATATGCGCCTAGGTAGCGTCGGCGGGTTGGCGAGGTGATGTGCAAGTTGGTGGCATACGTGCGGTTGCCAAACAGGGGGGCCTGATGTTCTGACCTGTAAGTGGAGCCCTGAAATGTCGACAAACAGATGCTCATCCTCTTGCAGTGCTTCGTTTATTCCAGGGTAGTACACTGACGCATCATCAGCCCCCTCATATTTCCGGAAGTGGCATACTGTTGCTCGTGGATCGCGAGCAGGCATATGCCCCAACCCAGCTCCTCTGCTTGCACCGCGAGGTACCTGATCGAGGAACTTCCGCAAACATGCAGACATCTGCGGTGGGCTGAGGTAGGACCACCTGTAAAATGCCGTCCAGCTCGTCTTCCAGCGTCTCACGAAGTGCAATGGCAATGGTGTGCGCCGAGGCGCGCTCCCGGATTTCAACCACTGCATGCAGAGGGATCCTGTGTAGCCGAAGCTTGCAGTGAGCAGCTCTAGTCCTTTTATGCCTCCCAGGAACGACTGACGCGAGGCTCCAGGGCCCTCTCCCCCCAAAATAGCCCCCCCAAATAGTAGAGTTTAGGGTTTAGGGTTTAGGGTTTAGGTTTTAGGGTTTAGGGAGGATTGGACCCCAATAAGGGACCCCAAAATTCGGAAGCTCCATATTTGCCTTCAAGACACTGGGATAAGTCGCAGCATCGCATGTAGGACTGGCTGAGACTTGGTCTTGGGGTGAGGGAATGCAAAACCCGAAATCATGCAAAACAAAATTCAACAGACCGACAGCGTGAACCGCACGACGTAACCACATCCGGACAGTTTCTGGACCCTAAACCTCTTATAAAGCCACGCTGTAACATCCTGTGAGCGCTACTCACCCCCTAACCTCTGAACGAGCACCTCAAACACAGAACCCTATGAGCCACTACAGTCCCACACAGTGCCATGAGCCCTTGTGAACCCCCAAAGCCGGAATGATCCCCAAAGCGCTCTCATCACAAATAGAGACCCAAGAGCCCGGACACCAGGACCCTACCCTTAGAAACGTCTAAAACAAACGCCTGATGCACCCTATACCGTAAAGCCAGTCGCTGATCCTCAACCCCAAGCCCCAAACCCTAAACCCCAAACCCTAAACCCTAAACCCCAAGCCCTAAACCCTAAAAGCCCTAAACCCTAAACCCCAAGCCCTAAACCCTAAAAGCCCTAAACCCTAAACCCCAAACCATGAACCCTAAACCCTAAACCCTAAACCCCAAACCCCAAACCATGAAGACCACCCCCGAGGAGTGCACTGTGAGGCGTCGGTTTCGCCAAAGGTCCGAAGCCGGGATCTTGCACTGGCCCCGGACCACCTCCAGGGAGGATTAGGGAGCTTGTAAGGGCTTAGGGGTTTAGGGCTTAGGGTTTAGGGTTTAGGGTTTAGGGAGGCTCAAGGCAAGGAATATTTTGAGTCATCGGAGATCTGGAATGCGGGCTTCGGGTGGGGCTTCACCCACCCACCCCCCAAGCCCAGACCCCTGGGAGAATCCGAAAAAAGTAGATCCACTGAAGGGTGTAGGGTTTAGGGTTTAGGAGAAAGACCCAATAGTAGTAGTTTGGGGGTTCTACTTTCTAGATCCTCCCAAGGGTCACTCGAAGTTTTCAAAGCTCTAAGCCCTACCACAACTCGAAACCTTCCAAGGGTTTAGGGCTTGGGGTGGGGGGCTTACGCCCTAAAACCTAAACCCTAAAACCCGAAAACCCTGAAATCCTAAAACCTTAAAACCCAAGAAGCCATGAAGCCCTCAAGCCCTGAAGCCCTCAACCCTAAAACCCCAAGCGCCCCAAAGCCCTCAACCCTAAAGCCGCAAACCCTCAAACCCTTTCAGCCCTAATCGGGCCTGAAAGGCCCTATAAACCCTATAAGCCCCCCTAAAGGCCCCTGAAAGGCCCTAGAAGGCCTTGCTCAAACCCTAAACCCTAAACCCTAAACCCTAAACCCTAAACCCTAAACCCTAAACCCTAAACCCTGATCTGAGAGAGACCGCTTCCAGGAGCTGGCCCAGGAAGCGGAGCAGAAGAGGCTTCCCGGCCTCAGGGCTCCAGGGTTTAAAGAGGCTTTAGGGTTTAGGGTTTAGGGTTTAGGGTTTAGGGTTTAGAGTTTAGGGTATAGGAGTCGAAAGCTCAGAGCTTAGGGTGTAGGGTGGAGGGTTTTCGGGTTTGAGGGGTTAGGGTTTGTATGGGGTTGAGGGTTTTTCTGGCAGGTTTGTTTCTGGTTTAGGGAGGTACACGGCTGATAACCTATGTTGATCGAGGCACAGTCCAGAAATGTCGCAAGCGATGACCGGTAAGCCATGCAAAGCTAGCACGCTTCTCGCCATCACAAGGGGCTTGATAGCGCGTAAACTTTAACAGGCAAGAGAGGGAGAGAGACAGAGAGAGAGAGAGAGAGAGAGTACCAACCCTAAAGCATCCTAACGCCCTGCAGATCTACGCCATAAGCCCTGTGCCCCATAGACATCAACAAGGCCATACCTGGATGAACCGGTTTGCCCTTTAGGGTTTAGGGTTTAGGCTTTAGGGTTTAACGGTTTTAATACCTAAGCTTTCCCTGTGGGTTTCTCTGTGTGTGGATCCACTTGCAAGCCATGCCCCAATCTAACCGACTAGTGTTTAGGTTAGTAATTAGGAGGGTCTAGGGTTTACGGTGCAATGAGTCTGCAAGTTTTGGGGTTCGGGTGGGTTAAGGAGAGTCTCGCAGTGGTAGCTTGCGAGCCAGTGGCTAGAACGCTGCTGGAAAAAGCCAGGATGTCCATGACCTGCAGGGAAACTGGCGAAAGTCAGGGCTTCCAGCGCGAGTTGTCTAAGGTCCGAATTTTGGGGTTCAGAGGTTTGGGAGCCTGATTTTGGGGGTTAGGGATTCAGAACATTACAGGTGAAATCACCCGACTCTTCACATTTTGGGACACGCTTCGTGCTGTAGAAGTATCCGGGCACTCAAGGCCAAATCCTTGAGTGTCTCCAGCCCACACGGGAACACAGGCAACTTCATCTCGTGCCCCGTTGCAGCTCCAAACTACCCCAAGGAGTAGCCGCTAAACCCTAAACCCTAAACCCTAAACCCTAAACCCTAAAACCTAAACCCTAAACCCTAAACCCTGAGTAGCCCAGGTCTGTTTGGGGTTAGGGCAGCTTGAGGCTTAGAGTTCCCTGCCCCTGCAACAAAACCACAAAGCACCCCAACGCCGAAGTCATCCTAAACCCTAAACCCTAAAACCTAAACCCTAAACCCTAAACCCTAAACCCTAAATCCTAAGCCCTAAGCTTGACCTTCAACCGTAAACCCTGCGCACCCTAGAAGTCCTAAACCCTCCTAAAAATCTGGTCCGAAAGCCCGATAAGCCCTGCACCGTCTAAGCCCGAATATAGGGGGCCTTCATAAATAGAATAGGCCTTTGGGGGTAATTATAGTAGTATAATGATTTTATAGGGACCACGAGGGACTACTTGCAGTATTCATTCCCCTAAATACCCCAAACCCTCAACTCTAAACCCTAGACCCTCAACCCTCAACCCTAAACACTAAACCCTAAACCCTAAACCCTAACTTTGGAAACCCTAAGATACCCCACCAGGGAACCCTAACCCCTAAACCCGAAACCCGAAACCCTAAGGAAGCCGCAGCGCGCTGTGCTCTGGCTGCTACCCAGCAGCACGGCAGAAGGCCGCACAGCTGCAGGAGCGCTTCAGGCTCAAGCCTGTGGGTTTAGGGTTTAGGGTTTAGGGTTTAGGGTATGCTGAACTTGGTACCCTAGCAAACAATAGTATGTTAGCTGCTTCTTAGAAAATCATAGTGTCCAAAAATAAAAGGTATTCCCAAGTATCCCTAAGTTTAGGGTTATATAGGGTTTAGGCTTAAGCGACTTTGGATGTTCAGGGTAGGTAGGTGCTGTGCGGGGGTTCTTGGGCTTGTGACCTCGCGCGCAGCGCTGCGTCAGACTTTGGGGCGTTGGGTGGATTCAGCTTTTCCCGGGCTCCTATAGGGTTTAGGGTCTAGATGTATACGGCTTAAGGATACAGGGGCTACAAGTTACACGGGTTCAGGGTTTAGGGTATGTAGGGGTTCAGGGAATGCTTCAGATGATGACATACCGCCCCAGAGGGTCCATTTGCATTACTATTATGGAATTAGGTACCCACAAACCATACTAAATAGGGTTTTGGGGTACCTAATTGTATAATGGTAATACCATTGGACCCTCTGGGCGCCTGTCGGCTTTGGTAACGCACGCGGCTTGTGGATCTCCTCTGGATCATGGCCTTGCGCCTATCTTGGAGGTTCATGGTACTTGTTAACCAATTGCAACTGTACTTATAGCCCGCTTCTAAGACCCTTAAGTATGGACATAACTATAGTTATAAGTACAGTTATAATTAATTAATAATAACTGTACTTATAACCCACTTCTAGGCCCCTTAAGTATGGTTATAAGTATAGTTATAAGTACAGTTATACCTGGTTAATAAGTACCATGAACCTCCAAGTAAGCGATCCTGCAGCAGGCTTCGAGTTCGCCTCTGAGGCATGGGGCTTCATGTCGTAGGGCACCCAAGCCCAGGGTTTAGGGTTTAGGGTTTAGGGTTTAAGGTTTAGGGTTTAGGGTTTAGGGTTTAGGGTTTAGGGTTATATAGGTCTTCAAGCAACAGCCCGGTGCTCCGCGGACAGCCCATGTTTGATAGTCCCCTAAACCCTAAACCCTAAACCCTAAACCCTAAACCCTAAACCCTAAACCCTAAACCCTAAACCCTAAACCCTAAACCCTAAACCCTAAACCCTAAACCCTAAACCCTAAAACACAAACCCTAAACCCTACATCACGGTGCACATGCTCAGTTCGGCTGCTTCTGTCGGGCTTAGGGTGCTTAGGGATTAGGGTGCTAATTTGGTTTCGGGTTTAGGGTGTTTAGGGCGTGTATGCGGGGTGTTTAGGGTGCTTTTGCTTTGTGGCTTAGGGCTGGATGTCGGGACACTGGGCTTAAATAGAATCTGCGGAGAGTAAAATGAGGCTTTCGGCTCGCAGGGCGAGTTTAGGGTTCAGGGTTTAGGGTTTAGGGTTCAGGGTTTAGGGTACTTGAAGGTTCCGGGCTGGTCTTCGGAAGGGTTCGAAGTGCCCCAAAGAAGCTTATTCAGAGGGTCCATTTGCATTACAATTCTGGAATTAGGTACCCAAAACCATACTAAATAGGGTTTTGGGGTCCCTAATTCCATAATGGAAATACAAATGGACCCTCCGGGTTAAGTACCAGTGGATGTATCAAGTCGAAGTACCCATACACCTCCAAGTGTCGGCCGCCCGATACAAAGTCCACCACCCAGAGCCAAAAGCCAGCTGACTTAGGTAAAAAGGCTTCCGCTCGCCTACGCCCTAACCTCTAAACTCTAAACCACAAACCTAGAACTGTGCGAAACGCACGAGCTCCAGCGCTGGGGTTGTTTCTGATGTTGGGGTTGGGCATATAGGGTTTAGGTTTTGGGCTGCATGTGTTTGTGAACTCGGAACTGCGGTGGATCGTAAACCCTAAATCCTCAACTCCAAGTCCTAAACCCTAAACCCTAAACCCTGAACCCTGAACCCTAAACCCTAAACCCTACACCCTAATCCCAAAATCCCAAGCCCTTCAAAGCCATGCCAGCACCACGCATGAGCCAGGGCAGTAGCTCCGCGCGAAGGAGCTCGGCCTCGAGATGCAAGGGGCAAAGATGCCCAGAAGCAGGGTTTAGGGTTTAGGGTTTGGGGTTTGGGGTTTAGGGCTTAGACTTGCAATTGTAGGGGGGAAGGAAGGTGATATCTTGAGATTTGAGGAGATTCGTAGTGCCCCCAAACAAGTTGAAGAAGACCTCCTCAACACCTGGGTTGGGGATTCGGGTGAGAGTTTCGACTCTCTGAAGCCAAAAAATGGCCCGAAACCCAAATGAATCTCTGTGCCCTGTGCCCTAAACCGTAAACCCTAAACCCTAAACCCTACACTCTAAACCCTAAAACCCTAAACTCACTGGATGGCCCCTGGAACCCTCTGAAAAATCTTCCTGCATATGATCCTCTTCAGCCAAATAAGGGGAAAATACAAAATGTCCGAAGCGCCGACATAGTTTCTTGGTAGCCCAGTAACCATACAAAAATAAGGGTTTAGGGTTTAGGGCCAGTTTAGTAGGGTTTAGGGTCTAGGGTTTAGGGTTTAGGGCACAAGGGTTTAGGGTTTAGGGTTTAAGGCCCCGAAAGCCCTAAGCCCGACTGCATGCCCAGCGGCCGCCACAGGCTCGGGCGCCGTGCGCGCCAAAAGCTGCAGAAGCTGCTCCAGGAGCTCCAAACAGATGACCTAGCGCCCGATCTTGAGCGGTTTAGGGTTTGGGGTTTAGGGTTTAGGGTTTCGGGTTTAATTAGGGTTTAGGGTTTGGGGTTTAGGGTAATTAAGCCTGCGTGGGTGTGGTGTTTGGGTTGGGATGTTCCCCCTTATACTAACTGCTCCTTAAAAGGGATTACAAATCCCCATGAAGGACTGTGAGTTTCAGGGGAAAATCCCAATTTTTGGGGTCAAAGGTGCATGGGAAACGGGTTACAGTAAGCTCCAAAAAGTTGGGACATCCTAAGCCCTATACCCAAAAGGTATACTAAAGGAGATCCCAGCTCTAATCATCTATAACCATGTTCCAACTTTCTGGATTTACTGTAACTAGTTACCGAAACCCTCCTAGCGACCTATGAACATCCAAGGAGGATCTTAAGGTTTCGGTGATTTCTGGTTTGTCTCTGGGCATGGGATGGCCTAGGAATTCAAGACTCAGAAATTCCTTGGGCATTGGACACTGCTGGGCATCCTAGTGTTATTGTGCCTAAACCCCTAAACTCTACACCCCAAGCCGCAAATTCCTAAGTCTTAAACCCCAACCCCTAAGCCCTTAACCCCAACCCCTAAGCCTTCCAACCCCCTAAAAACCAACCCCTAAACCCCTAAACCCTAAGGGGGAAGGAGGGTTTAGGGTTTAGGGTTTAGGATTTAGGGTTCATGGTTTTTGGTTTAGTGTTTAGGGTACGCGTCCGGCTCCGGCCCGGCCGCCGTCTTCTATCTCTTCTTCGCAAGCTCTCCACCGGAATGGGCGATGGGCAGACCATCGCTGTTTGGCAGCATGATTGATGGCGAGTGCCGATTCGGGCAAGCAGAAAATGATATGAAGATGGTGAGTGAGCTGTGGTTGCTTCTCTCACTTCTGGGGTTTGCATGCCCCCAGTGAAGCAAAACCAACATGCTTAGAGCGAAAAACCAAGCGGGAAGCTCGGCTGAAGAACAAAAATATTTTATCTTGCGCGAACCAAGCCTACGCGATTAGGGCTTAAAGTCTTCCTGGAGACCCTAAACCCTAAAGGCCCTAAACCCTAAACCCTAAACTAACAAGACTTCGGGTTCAGGGTGAAGCGTTTTGGGTTTCGGGTATAAACCCTATAGAAATCCCAATTACTCATCTGCCCTAAATTGAACCTTTAACACTAGACTCTATAAACCCTAACACCCTAAATCCAATAAACCCAAAAACGCCTTACACCTGAAAACCCAAACGCTGAATTTGAAGCTTGTCCCCCCAAACTTTTTTGGGCGTTAGGAACCCTGGCATGGCCCTAACCTGGTGGTTCTTCACTGTTAACTAAGGACTCCGGAGACTAATTACTTGGTATCGGTTCAGGGTATAGGGTTTAGGGTTTACAGGGTTTAGGGTGTAGGGTTTAGGGCTTAGGGTTTAGGGTTCTAGCGGAAGCCTCGTCTCGATCGGCAGCCGCTCGAACACCCAGTATCCTGAGGCGGCCGTCGAGTTGAAGGAAATCCGGGGGGAGACGGGAGCCCTGGAGCTGCGGCTACACGTGTAGGGTTTAGGGTTTAGGGTTCAGGGTTCAGGGTTTAGGGTTTAGGGTTTAGTGTTTTTAGCATTTGGGGTTTAGGGGTTAGGACCGCAAGTTCCGGAGGCGAGGGGGAGCTCAGGGACCCTTTGGCCGCCTAAACCCTAAGAGAAAATCCTGGGAGCCGAGGGACATGGTGGCCAACAGGGTCGTGCTGGACAACTCGAGGGCGCCTGGCTGCGGAGTTCAGGGTTCGGGTTTCGGGTTTCGGGTTTAGGGTTTAGGAGTTTAGGGTTTGTGGGGTTTAGGAGGGCGCGTGGCTGCGGATTCGGGTTTGGGGTCTAGGGTTTCGGCTTTGGGGCTTGTAGGGTTTAGCGTTTAGGGTTGCGGGTTGACAGATTACAGGGTTATGGTTTAGGGTTCAGGGGCGCCTCTCCGTTCTAAAATGCACATGCCACAACAGGCCAGTTTGGGATTCAGGATTTAGGGTTTAGGGCCTAGGAGCCTGAAACTTCGGGTTTAGAGCTGAAGGTGTACCATCTTGAGTTTAGGGTTTAGGGCTACTAGAATCCTAAAGCTTAGGGCTAAGGGCATAGGGCTTTCAAGCATATAAAGTTCAGGGCACAGGGTTGCAATTCCTAAGCTCAGGGCATAGGGCTTAGGGTTCCCTAGGGGCAGGGCCAGTTGTGCTGGCTTGGACTAGCTGAACAATTCATCAAGTGTTGGCTTGGCATTGGGGGGGGACAGACGGTCCCAAACCCCCGCCCCCCTACAACCCACCCTAAAGTAAGAAGGGTGATCGTGTGAAGAAAGAGGCCATCCGCTACTTCTGAGCGCGGCACGGAACCAGACCAACCACTACATCTGAGGGCGGTGCTGAACAAGACAGCCACTACCCTAAACCCTAATTAAACCCTAAACCCTAAACCCTAAACCCTAAACCCTAAACCCTAAACCCTAAACCCTAAACCCTAAACTGGGCTTAGGGCTTCGGAGTTGGGACTGGAGAAAGGCTCAGGGTTTGAGAACCCGACAGACTTTTCCCCTGCAAGTGCCACCCTAAGCCCTAAACCCTAAACCCTAAACCCTCAACCCTAAACCCTAAACCCGAAACCCTAAACCCTCAACCCTGAACCCTAAACCCTGAACCCCAAACCCGAAACCCTAAACCCCAACCCCCCCCCCCCCCCCCCCCCTCCACCTCCCCCTCCCCCCTCCCCCTGCCTTCCAGGGCTTCCTTGGAGGAGCCGAGGATGGCAAAGAAAGCTCGGAGGATCCAAACCACCTGCTGCTGATGCCTGGCAAGATCCAGACTTGGAGGGTTTAGGGTTTAGGGTTTAGGGTTTAGGGTTTAGGGTTTAGGGTTTAGGGTTTAGGGTTTAGGGTTTAGGGTTTAGGGTTTAGGGAGAGTTGTCTTTTTCTTTTCTCTTTTTGGATGGGTGGGAGGGGGGGGGGGTTTAGGGTTTCGGGGTTTAGGGTTGACATTTAGGGGTCCAGGTCTCAGGATTCGACACTTCAGGGCTAGGGCTTCAGGACCCCAGAGGCGCCAGACGTTGAAGACACCAGCTCTAACTCTAACCATAACTCTCACACACTGACAGACATATGACTTAAAAAACAAAATTGAGTTTTTTTTGCAACAACCCAGTGACACTTATTTATTCCGCCCAAAAAAACAAGAAATAAAGGAATAACAATAGCAAGGGCGCCAGTAGCAAACATCGCGACTTTTTGGAGGATCATCGGGCTGAGCAAGTAGGGTTATAAGCACCCCTAAGTAGGGTTATAAGTAATTGCAACCATGGTTGCCCTAAGTATAACCCCACTTACTAAGTCGCCTGATCCTTTAAGATAGCTATTGTTGCCCTAAGTATAACCCCAACCCTAAACCCTAAACCCCAAACCCTAAACCCAAAACCCTAAACCCTGAACCCTATTGACAAGCAAGAGGAGGTCGACCAGCCTGCCAAGTGCCGCCAGGCGCGCCGCCTGCGCCGCCAGCGCGGGGGCTCCGGCAACTGCCGCCGAGGCGGCAGCCTGGTGCGGGTCTAGGCTTTGAAAAAAGGGGTGCACACACAGACAGATGTATATATGTATATATATATATATACATACATACATACATACGTATACGTACATGTGTATATACATAAGTATAAGAAATAACATACACAGTGTTCTTACCATTCGAAGAATAAAGTTTCAGGATTTGACAGGCTTTGGGTTGGTTCAGGGCTTGGGAATCCGGGGGACTGCGGTTTAAGGACCAGGGGAGGTCGGTCTTAGGAGGTGGGGTTTAAGATGTTTGAGGGTTGAGGGCTGCCTAAACCCTAAAGCCTAAACCCTAAATCCAAAACCCGAAACCCTACATCCTAAACCGCAAACCCTAAGCTCTGGAGACCCTTCCCCCAAAACCCTAAACCCTGAAATACGCAAGCTAGAAGGACTCATGAGGCCGAACACCCCCTGTGACGGGAGCGCAGAGTTTTTGGGGTTTAGGGTTTACGGTTTAGGGTTTAGGGTTTACGGATTAGGGTTTTCAAATCGAAACCCGAGGCTTGGGCCATCGGGTTCAGGGCTTAGGGCTTGTGCAGCTCAGGCTTCGATCCTACACCCTAAACCCTAAACCCTACACCCTTAAGCCCTAAACCCTCAACCCTAAACCTAAACCCCGAACCCTGACCAGCCGCTGTGCCGCGCTTTTTGAAGGCTCTTGGGGAGCCTCCGGAGAGGCGCCGGCGAGGTTTGCCAGGCAGAGGCACTGTGCCACCGAGGTGCCAGGGGCCACGGGGCGGCCTGCGTTGGGGCTGCGTGGGTAGGGCTTAGGGTCTAGGGTCTAGGGTTTAGGGCTTAGGGCTTAGGGTTTAGGGTTTACTAACCTGATATGGATGAGGTTTCTATAAGGCGAATATTTCTAGATGTATAGGGAGATAAAGTATGCATAAGGGCTCTGCAAGGTTTGTACTTGATTGCCGAAGACTCTGCAAGGTTTGTGAAGCACGGGAACCCTAAACGCTGGGCCCTGAACCCTGAACACAGGCCCTGCGGCCCTGAAACCCTAAGCACCAAACTGAAACCCTAAACGCTGGGCCTTGAAACCCTAAACACAGGCCCTGAAGCCTTGAAACCCTAAACGCTGAGCCCTGGAACCCTACACACAGGCCCTGAAGCCTGAACGCTGGGACCTGAAACCCTCAACACCAGGCCTTGGTGGCCTGAAACCCTATACGCCAGGCCTGGGGCCCTGATACCCTAAACGCCAGGCCCTGAGGCCTTGAAAACCCTAAACGCTGGGCCAAGAGTTTAGGGCTACACCGGATACTTGGAGGTGCGTGGATACCTATAAGTAAGGTTATAAGTAGTGCCACTGTGGCTATGACATGCCTTCTGTAGGGTACTTAGACCCCACTTACAAGTACCCGTGAACCTTCAAGTAGGGTTTCAAGGGATGACGGCTCGCGCCCCTAAGGTTGTACCCCTAAAGGTTCCCCTGAATGTACTCCTAGTATGGCCCTGATACTACCTTAAGGATCTTGAAAAAGGGTCCCCAAGCCCAAGGGTACAACCTTAGGGGTCGGAGGTAGAGTTCCAGGAGGGTTAGGGTTTAGGGCTGAACCCTATAAACCCCTTATATACCCTATACATCCCAAGGGCCCATGCTTCAGAAACCCTTTACAGGAGGTATGGGAAAGGTAATGGACCATACTAAGCACCCCATGAAACTACCCTTAGCCGAACCCTAGAAGCCCTAAACCCCAAACCCTAAACCCTAAACCCTAAACCCTAAACCCCAACACCCCAGAACCCCAAAACCCCAAAACCCACAGACTGTAGAGCCACCTGTGCCCAGAGTCTCCAGAACAGCCACCACACCTCAGTGCTGGAAAAATTGGGTTGTCAGGCTTCGGGTCGGCGAGCCGTAGGCCGTGGGGATGTCTGCCTTAGGATTGAGGGTTTGTTTGCGGTTTAGGGTTTAGGGTTTAGGGTTTAGGGTTTAGGGTTTAGGGTTTAGGGTTTAGGGTTTAGGGTTTAGGGTTTAGGGTTTAGGGTTTAGGGTTTAGGGTTTAGGGTTCAGGGTTCAGGGTTTAGGGCTTGGATGGGTATAGGGGGAGACTTCCGTACCTTTCCAGACGTAATCCCAACCCAGGGTCTCGAACTCAACAATACGAGAAACTCAAGTGCTATTTCAATTGGGATTGGGAAACCCAATTTTAAGAGTGGGGTTCCGAAACTCAGGTGAATCCTGAGGCCCAAGAACCTTTCTTGCGGAATGCGCACCGAATATGGGCGCTTACGAAAAGAGGGGACCCCTAATATAAACCCCAAATAGCAAGATTCCCATACAATAAGGACCGCGAATTCGGGAACCCTAGCCTAAACTCTAAACCAAACCCTAAACCCTAAACCCCAAACCCCAAACCCCAAACCCCAAACCCCAAACCCCAAACCCTAAACCCTAAGCTAAAACCCCTTTAAAAAAGGATGGGTCGAGTAGGGAGGCGTGAGAGATGCCAAGCCCCTGGCGTTCAGCCGCCACCCTGCCAAGCTCGGCATCCGCGGCTGCCACGGCCCCCGCATCCTGCGGAGGTTCAGGGTTCAGGGTTCAGGGTTCAGGGTTTTAGGGTTTAGGGTTTAGGGTTTAGGGTTTAGGGTTTAGGGTTTAGGGTTTAGGGTTTAGGGTTTAGGGTTTAGGGTTTAGGACTTAGGGTTGTTCCTCCTTTCTTATACTAGCAATCCTTTATGGGCATCCCAAGGTTGGGGTGTAGGGTTTAGGGCTTGCGGTAAGGGGGCTCGGAGGGTTTAAGGTTCGTAAGCTTTAGGGTTTAGGGTTTAGGGTTTAGGGTTTAGGGTTTAGGGTTTAGGGTTTAGCCTAAACCCTAAGACCCCAAAACCCCACACTCCTGCGCACAACTGCTCACCTCTGCTCTCCAACCCTGCTTTCAAGCCGTGAACTACGAGCCCGTAAAGTCATCCCTTCTAAGCTAAGCCTCCTTGCGTTTGAGAGTTAAGGTCTACACCTACTACTGTAGGGAATTCGGGAACTTGGGTACCTATCTTTACGATTTTTGGCGGGTACCGAATATCCATAACACCCTGCAGAACCAGGAAGCATAGTGGACAAAACCCACTCCTCACCCAAGAAGGACCAAGCGTCTTTCAAGGAACAATTTGGGCCACAAAGAGGCCCTAAAGTCCTTCTTCAGGATTCGGGTGGAGGGTTCTAGGTATCAACCATAAACCACAAACCCAAAACCCTCCTAAACCCCAAACCCTAGAAAACCCCGAAACCCCGAACCCTAAACCCCAAATCCTATTTAAAAAAAAAGCGGAAACCCTGAACCCCAAACCCTATAAATCCAGACTCTATTAACCCTGAACCCTCTACTATACAGGTACACGGAACCCTGCGGCCAGGCATGTGGGTTTAGGGTTTAGGAGGCCTGTTGTGGTACCCTGCGCTTCTGAACGGATGTGCGCTACAACTCTAACATCTAAGAATGACTCAACATACCCCAAAGCCATACCCTTTAACCTGTACAATGCAAGGAGAATCAGGTGAACCCTGAGCCCTAAACCCTGAACACACTACACCCTGAGCCCCTGAGCCCCTGAGCCCCTGAGCCCCTGAGCCCTAAACCCTAAACCCTAAACCCTAAACACTAAACCCTAAACCCGAGAAGGCCGTCCTGACCCACCAGGCCATTACTGCGCAGAAGTGCCCACATGCCCAGGGCCGTGGTGGCGATGGGCAGCTCGGCCTTCGATACCAAAATTGGGGGGGTTTAGGGTTTAGGGTGTAGGGTTTAGGGTTTAGGGTTTGGGTATTGAGCCGTTGAGGTTTGGCAGGCTTGTCGTTTCAGCGTTTACGGTCTAGGATTTAAGGTTCAGGGCTCTCGGGTGTGCCTGGCGAAAGGCCTACAAGCAAAGCAACGCCGTTCACGCCATGCAGTCAAAGCTAAACACTCTAAACCCGGAACCCGAAGCCCTAAACCCTAAACCCTAAACCCGAAAGCGCTAAACCCTAAACCCTAAACACGAAAGCCCTGAAGCCTGAACCCGAAAGCCTTAAACCCTAAAACTCTGAATCCAAACTCCCAAGTGAGAAGCTCCAAGTGCGCAACCCGTGGCGGGCCTGAAGTCCGGAATCTCGGGGTGCTTTGGAGCTTTAAATCTACAGGGTCTCGGATTGGGGTCTGGAGTTTAGGGGTTAGGGTTAGGGTTTAAGATTTAGGGCTGAGAAGCCAAACCTCAAAAACCTTGAAAGCCAAAGAAAACAAGCGCCTTGAGCGATTCCAGCAGGAGTGAGGCCACCTCGCGTGTGGCCAGCGCCTGGTTCTGCGATTTAGGGCTTAGGCTTCAGGCTTCGAAGTTCAATCAGGGCATGGATCGGTAGGTAGATACGTCGGATGAAGGATAGATATACGCATCTTTGTGTAGTCTGCTTGAACCGACGCAATTATTCAGTCATTTGCGGTGTATATACTAACAAAATAAGGTATAACCGAACAGAATACAAAGTCATGTACAGGATGTCAGCAGGCAATGAGAAGTTGGTCCGAGATATGAACCAGTGAAGAAACACCTAAGCACATAATTGAACATTGCATACATGCGCAAATACAGTCCATATCAACAAATTCTAACAATCAATAAGCAAGCCTATGTCTCTCACCAATCGCCTCAACCCTCTTCCACAACCTGCCTCGCTGATTTTTGGCTAAAAAAGGTTCTGTAGTTTTCTTCTGCCTTTCATAGGGTCTCTAATAGTTCACAAGGGAACCGAAGCCTGAAAGACTCCTAGTATGCGGGGCAGAGGGCAGTGCAGAGTTCAGGTCTTAGGGTTGAGGGTTGCACGACCTCGTAGAGTGGAGTCCACCCATCGTTCAAGGCCCTTCCATCGCCAGATGGAGCCTGATTGTGTTTAGGGTTTAGGGTTCAGGGTTGAGGGTGTCGGGCTTTGGGGGGGTTGTTTTTGGCCCTTGCCCCCATGGTCGGATCCCCCTGATAATAAGGACCCCTATAACGTACTACGTACCCCGAATGTCGTAAACCCCCCCCCCCATATTGCTTGGGGGGTGTCGATGGTTTGGACACTAGGTCGTGGACGGACCTGAGGGACGGGACTTGTATGTAGCAGAGTGGTATGTACAGTGCCAGGCAGTCAGGGCATAGACCGCTCTGGGCTGTGGGTTTCACCTATCTTGCTGGCTTGCAGCGCCGAGTCTCGTGAAGCAAAAAAAGGCTGGAATGGAATTCGGGTGAGCAGGGTGTAGGGTTTAAGGCTGGGGGCCTGTCTTTATGCGCAACGTTAGGGTGTTAGGGTGCTAGGGTTTAGGGCATCGTGAAGCCGAAAACCATCTGCAAGCTCAACAGAGCCTGACGTGTTTGCCGGGGATGACGGACGCGACACATGTTCCGGATGTTATTATTCGACCCGGTATTTACCAGACGACGACGATGACGAGCCTTTACTTCGCGGCAACCGCAGCACGCTGGACGAGACCTTCTGGCGCTGTGTCCGCAGATGCTGGCAAAAGCACCCAGAGACTCCAAAACCCCTTAATTAAGGAATATACCTTAAATTATAATAGGAACCCTAATATGAATTAAGGCATATTCCTTAATTAAGGGGTTTTGGAGTCTCTGGGCAATGAGCGCGCACGTGCGAACCCAGAGGATGACGGTGGCACTCAGAGTGCGGCAGTGCAGATTTTGGGCAGCAGCGGTTGCACGCGCAAAACCAAAACAAAAACAGTACCTTATCACGGTCGGGGAATGGCAAGGACTAGTGCCCCAATGAGAACACGGTCACTTGGAGGTTCATGTGGACTATTTACAAATCGGGGTTACAAGTATAACTACATGGTTTTGTAGCTATTACGCGATTGTTTTTTTTGGGGGGAGTACTTGTAACCCTTCTTATATCTGCCCCATTGAACCTTCAAGTAACGATAGGAGCTCACGTGGGAACCCTTGGCAAGGGGTCTTAAAGTCACACTCTCAGATGCCGATGCCCCGTTCTCTCCAATAGCTTGAGCCCAAAAAACGGGGTTGTGCAGGGTCAGGCTGATTCAAATTTAGAGACTCTAGGGTTTAGGGTGAACCCTTAAACCCTAAACCCTAAACCCTAAACCCTAGACCCTAAACCCTAAAGCCCTAAAACCCTAAACCCTCAACACTACTACTGTGCACCCTCTCAACCCCCAAGCTTTGATCCACACCTGCTCCACGTGGCCCAGCATGTGGCAAAGGCAAGCAAGATGCGAGTGCGCAAGACCTGGCCCCGAACTATGTGGGGGACGGCTCTTTGAATTGGGGTCCAGTCAGGGGGTTCAGGGTACATGTTAGTTGATGTGGCGAAAAAGGGACCGTGATTTAGGGAACTGGCGCCATGTTCGCCCTGAAAGAGCTGGAAGCCCCAAAAACGAAGTATGAAGTGAGGAAAGCAGTTGAGGGGTTTCGGGCCTTCTAGGGGGGCTCAGGATTCAGGACTTAGAGTTTAGAGGGTTTAGGATGTGTAGGGCGTTTAGGATGTTTAGGGCTTCGGCCTCGGGACCAAATGAGCCCTGAGCAAAACACAAAGGCTCAATGGTGGCTTCTTTTGGGGTCGAAGAGGCAAACCCAAAACCCAAAACCCTAAACCCTATACCCTAAACCCTAAACCCTAAACTGCAACCGTACAAAAGAGCTACCTCTCAGCCTTAGCGCAGATGGTAGGCGCATCAACCCCAACGATCCATCTGTTTAGGGTGTCGCGCTTTGTTGTCGAGTCGGGCTTACATGGGATCTAGCCAGCAGAGAACCGAAAACGGCTACACCGAACCCTAAACCCTAAACCCTAAACCCTGAACCCTGAACCCTGAACCCTGAACCCTAAACCCTAACTCCAAACCCTTCGAGCTGAACCTCTGACTCTTGGACCTCGAGGGTTGGCATGGGGGGGAAGAGGTTTACGGCTTGGTGATTGAGACCGTCGCCTAAGGCTCGCTGTCGCAGATGCGTTGAGCTTGCACTGCTGCGGCCTGAGTTTCAAGGGTTCAGGGTGAGAGTTTGTGGGGGGGGGGATGGGGGGGGTGGGGGGGTGAGGGGGGATGGGGGAGGGGCGGCCTCAAATGAGTTTTGGTATGGTTTCCTCATGAATTAAAGCATACCCAGCTTTAGACACGACCACCCAGAAGGAACTCCTTTGCCGAAGCACACATGGAAGATCCAATCTGCAATGGTGACTTCCATCTGCCATTCGCCCTACAGCCTACACCGTTTAGGGTTTACTTTGAGGTTCGTGTATGCTTATAAGTACAAGCAAGGTTATGGGTAGGGCATCTATGCTTATAAACCTAAACCCTAAACCCAAAATCCTAAACCCTAAACCCTAAACCCTGAAAATGTAGGGTACTTACAGACTTCTAAGAACCCATGAACCTTCAAGCAGGCTTTACTACGATTTGCTGAAGAGCCCCAAAGGAATAAAACATAATTATCCCTATATTACCCTTAATAAGGAAGAATATTTCATATTTTTCGGGGTCCTTAAGCAAACTAGTAGTTTAGGGGTTTTGGGCTAAACCCTAAACCCTAAACCCTAAACCCTAAACCCTAAACCCTAAACCCTAAACCCTAAACCCTAAACCCTAAACCCTAAACCCTAAACCCTAAACCCTAAACCCCAACTTGAGCCCTCTTCAACGATGCCTTCCAGGTGAAGTGATCGGGTGACTACCTTGCGATGTTCGTGTCCTTTGAGTCTTCAAGGCGAGGGCTGCTCCGGTTTAGGGTTTAGGGTTTAGGGTTTCGGGTTTAGGGTTTCGGGTTTAGGGTTTAGGGTTTAGGGTTTAGCACATGCGCAGGGTTCGGCGTTCAGAGTGGAGTGACGAATTCGGAAGACGAATTGAGTGTAGGTGTAGCAAGCTCTGTCCAAATTACACGGCGAGCACAAAGTTATGCAGTCTCAAGGGACTGAACTAGATCAAGTCTGCTAAATTCACAATCATAATCGTGGTCCTTTTTGTGTTTTTTTTGCCTTCTCCCTGGTCGACATCAAGTTGCGGATTTGGTTTGTTGCGCGATGTATCATTACTAGTTGCGTAAGAACACAGAAAACATATCAAATATTCTTCCTTTTTAAGCGTATTATAGGGTATTGTTTTTTCATTCTTTTGGGGTTCTTCAGCAAATAGTCGTATCATGTCAAGCTCACACAGCATGAGGACACCAATCCTCCACATAGCCGCTGAGTCGGGTCGCCCAAAGTCAAATTCTTGCTTTTCTAAGGCCAAGACATTTAGGGTTTAGGCTTTAGGGTTTAGGGTTTAGTGTTGAGGGATTTACGTGGAGGTAGCATGACCTGTAAGGTACCGGTCGCCACAAATGGCTGCGACCTTATTCGGGGCATTTCCGTCCGTACTTCTCTACCCGTGAAGCCTACACTGGCTGCTGGCAAAGAGATGGTGTAACGTTGGAAAGGTTGCTCCCTATCTCGGCTGCACTTAGCAGGGTAGAAACCCCTACACCCCCAAAGCCCCCAAACTGTGGCCAAATCACTTCGAAGTTGGCTTCAAGTTTTGGGATGAAGGGTGGATTCAGACGCAAGAAGCCTTGTACCTGCAAGAGAACACCCCGCCCCCCCCCCCCCCCCCCCAAATGCGTCATGCAGCAAATTCGACAGGGAATTCTGAAGCTCCGTAAGCGCTAACCCTGACCCCTAAACTCAGCATCTGAAGTCCCCAGTCCTAAACCTTCAAACTCCAACACATTCCCCCTTGGCTTCCCGCAAGCCAGCAAGAGCCCGAGATCTGCGAGGCGGGAGCAAAACGAGACGACCAAAATCCGAAGACCTAAGCCCTAAACCCCAAAACCTGGACAAAGTACCCTACAGAAGCCACATGGGGGATTCTCTAAATTATGAGACACGGAGCCTTGTAATTAGGGCATCCCAATTTAGAGACATGCCCACATGGGAGTTAACGGGGGGCTGTCCGCGCTACGAAGTCAGTCCTCAACCCTAGAGGGCTTTCGAATTTCGGGTTCTGGGTTTGGGGTTTAGGGTTCTGGGTTTACGGGCCAGAAGTGCTAGGCCCCAAACCCTAAACCCTCTAATTATGCAGGGGCCTCTAGCCCTAGTTGCTGAGTGGCCCAAAAAAGATTTACCTTCCAATTGCGGTAGGATTGTATATGCCTCAAAAGGTTACGGGTTATCTACTCAGCTACTAAGTAGCTGGGTTGCAGAACCACCTTCTACACCTTCGAGTCTCGGGAGCCAGGGCCACCGATTTGCGCGAAGCCATTTGCGAAATCGGGGTCGGGCCCTGGTAGCTGTAGCCAGGGTTGGGCCTTAAGGTTTTGAGGGTTAGGGCTTAGGATTTCGGGATTTAAACCCAAAACCCTCAACCCTAAACCAAAACCCTGCACCTTGAACCCTGAACCCTGAACCCTAAACACTAAACACTAAACCCTAAACCCTAAACCCTAAACCCTAAACCCTAAACCCTAAACCCTAAACCCTAAACGAATCCCCAGACGCGGTCCTGCCAACGCCCGACGCCAGCTTTCGAGCAAGGGCGTGGCGGCGGACAGCCACAGCAGAAGCTGGGGATCCGAGAGGGAGCCTGCTAGGGTTTAGGGTTTAGGGTTTAGGGTTTAGGGTTTAGGGTTTAGGGTTTAGGGTTTAGGGTTTAGGGTTTAGGGTTTAGGGTTTAGGGTTCAGGGTTTAGGGTTTAGGGTTTAGGGCTTAGGGTTTAGAATTTAGAGTCCTAGCCTGCGCAGCACTGAGTTGAGGGCTGCTTATGCCCTAGGGTGTGAGGTTTAGAGTTCAGGGTTTTGGGCTAAGAATGCCTGAAGTCAACTTAGGGTTCCCACTATACTAACAATTCAACTTTAGATTCCGGACTGACAAGAGAAACAAAAGTGAGAAAAAAGGTTGCCCGGCAACCTGAAAGCAACAACGGGAAAGGGTGCCCCTTGCCTGGCTTGCATGGGGTGTATAAGCTTCGTAGCTAAGAAGATGACCGATAACCCACAAGCCTTGCAATCGACTCACAGCCCACCCTGTATTCACAGTATTGTTACAAACTGACATTCGTCTGATCATTGTGACTGCTGTTTCAGTGCTTCTTCCTCTTCTTCGTAGGAATATGGGGGTTTACGAAAATAGGGGACCCGCAATATAGATCCCCAAAGAGTAAGATTCCTTATAAGAAAGGACCCCAAGAAGGGACCCTTTATTTCGGAAACCACCCCCCCCCTCAGATTAAGTTATTCGAGGCCCTGCCTTGCCGTACCAGGATCATGACCTCGGCGGCCAATGACACACCATCCAAAAGGCGCCCGTAGTCAGTCTCCGTCTGCAAGACCTTCGGAGCATGTTTTTTTTTATTCTTTTTTTTTTTTTGGGGGGGGGGGGGTACATGTCTTCTAACCTGAACCCGAATTAGACCCTGAACCATGTTAGTTTAGGGTTTGGGGTCCAAGCTTCAGGGCTTGGGGATTAGGCTTAGGGTTTGGGGTTTAGGGTGATCTTACGTCTGCAGGATCTTTTGACAGGCTGCGGATTCGGGAGGAGGGAGTAGGTGAGAAGTGGTGAGTTAGGGGTTTATGCTTAGGGCCTGAAGCCAACCCATCCCCGAAGCCAACCGTCTACCTCACCCGTACATGACTCTACACACCAACACGCAACCCGTCATGGCTCGCAATTCTCTTGGGGTAGGACTTTGGGAGATGTCAATTGTCTCTTGCTGGCCCCAAAGCCCGAGGCGAGCCTACAACCAGGGTTTAGGGTTTAGGGTTAGGGTTTAGGGTTTAGGGTTTAGGGTTTAGGGTTTAGGGTTTAGGGTTTAGGGTTTAGGGTTTAGGGTTTAGGGTTTAGGGTTTAGGGTTTAGGGTTTAGGGTTTAGGGTTTAGGGTTTAGGGTGTAGCACGGGTCAGCTGTACGCAATTGTGTGTAGACATGCCCACCCCAAAGGCCACCCAAACACTACTTGCAGCGAAACAAACCAGAGCCAGCCGAATTAAAGCCAGCCCACATTCAAACACTTCTGCACTCAATGTTGTACTTCGGTCCAGCATCCAATATGTGTCTTGATGTCAATTTGCTATAAAGATGCCTTGCTGCATGGTAACATTTAAGAAGCTGCCTTGGAAATAGAACCTCCTGTTGCTAGAAAGGAGCCTTATGGAAGTCATGCCTGAAGCTTGCAGGAGAAAATTCAGGTTTTGCGCAGGGGACATCTTCGGCCGGAGGGCCTTCTCATTGTTTCTGTTCCCTATGTTGGAGTGTCAAGGCTGCATGGCGAAAGACTTGCTGCTAGGAAGATGCCTTGTGAAAGGTATATCTAAAAGCTTGCGAGAGAAAATTCAGGTTTTGCGCTGGGGGACGTCTTCGGCCGGAGGGCCTTCTCATTGTTTCTATTCTCTATGCCGGTGTGTGTCTAGAAGTTTGCGAGAGAAAAATTCAGGTTTTGCGCTGGGGGACGTCTTCGGCCGGAAGGCTATGCCGGAATGTCAAGGCTGCTTGGCGAAAGACCTGTTGCTAGAAGGGTGCCTTGTGAAAGTCACGTCAAGAAACTTGTAGCAAAAAAACAGGTTTTGCGCTGGGGGACGTCTTCGGCCGGATGGCCTTCTCATTGTTTCTATTCTCTATGCCGGCGTGTCTCTAGAAATTTGCGATAGAAAAATTCAGGTTTTGCGCTGGGGGACGTCTTCGGCCGGAGAGCCTCTCATTGTTTGTATTCTTTAGAAATTTGCAGGAGAAAATCAGGTTTTGCGCAGGGGGACGTCTTCGGCCGGAGGGCCTTCTCATCGTTTCTAATCCTATGCCGGTGTGTGTGTCTAGAAGTTTGCGATAGAAAAATTCAGGTCTTGCGCTGGGGGACGTCTTCGGCCGGAGGGCCTTCTCATTGTTTCTATTCTCTATGCCGGGGTGCGTCTAGAAGAAAAATTCAGGTTTTGCGCAGGGGCCTCCCAGAACCTGGCTCCAAAACTTCGGAGAGCCTTGAGGGCTTTCAACCTCCCAGAACCCTTCCAGGGCCTCCTAAAAGCCTTTCAGGGGCCGGCCGCTGTCGGGAGGCCCTCCACAAGGTCCAAGGAGGCCTCCAGGAAAGGCCCAATCCAGAAAGAAACACCTGCCGCGAGAAAATTCAGGTTTTGCGCTGGGGGACGTCTTCGGCCGGAGGGCCTTCTCATTGTTTCTATTCTCCATGCCGGTGTGTGTTTAGAAGTTTGCGAGTTCCAGGGCCTTTCAAAACCTTCTCAGGCTTGGAGCCTCCTAGGGGCCTCTTAGAGCATTTCAGGCGCCTCCAGGGGCCTCCCAAGGGGCCTCCCAAGGGGCCCCCCAGCAGAAGGCAGGGGCTGCTCAGGAGCCTCTAAACGCCTCCCGCAGGGGCCTCCCAAGCTCCCAGGGGCCTCCCAGGGGCCTCCCAGGGGCCTCCCAGGGGCCTCCCAGGGGCCTCCCAGGGGCCTCCCAGGGGCCTTTCAGGAAGCCTCGCAGGGGCCTCCCAGGGCCTCCCAGGGCCCTGCCAGGGGCCTCCCAGGGGCCTCCCAGGGGCCTCCCAGGGGCCTCCCAGGGGCCTCCCAGGGGCCTCCCAGGGACCTCCCAGGGGCCTCCCAGGGGGCCTCCCAGGCTCGAAGATAAAAAAAAGGGCCTGAAGCCGAAAAACCCGATTTTTGAGCAGTGGCCCAGGCTGAGCCCGAAAAAGGGCCTCTGGTCCAGCAACGAAGGCCGCAGTCGGCACCGCCCCCAGAGGGGCCCCGGAGGCCTCCAGGGGGGCCCCAGGCCAGGTTAGAAAAACACCTGCCGCGAGCAAAGGCTCGTAGAATATACTAGGGACTGTGCTTGGCGACCAAGCTTGGCGACCCCTGCAGGGGTGTGCCTGCAGGCCCGATCAGCCTAGATCGGGCCTGCGTGGTCTCGCTGAGCGCTCGACGGCGCCCACTCACCTCTAGAGTGAGAGGGGTGGTGGGCGGGTTTAGGGTTCCTGGTTTAGGGTTTAGGGTTTAGGGGTTTAGGGTTTAGGGTTTAGGGTTTAGGGTTTAGGGTTTAGGGTTTAGGGTTTAGGGTGATGTATCTGCGGCCGCGGTGCGAAACTTTCGTGCACCGGCGAGGCAGCTGTCACTGCCAAGCTCCAAAAGCCAACCTGCAAGAGGCTGCGATATGGTTTAGGGCTTAGGGTTTGGGGCCCCTAAGTAATGAGGCCGCTATCTGTTAGGGTTTAGGGTTTAGGGTTTAGGGTTCAGGGTTCAGGGTTTAGGGTTTGGGGTTTAGGGTCTCTAAATTAGGGTCCCTATTTGGGGTTCCCCTTTGTAAAGGGTGCCGGCTTAGAAGTACCCCAAACAAGGGACAGGGGAACCCTAATTTAGGAAACTACCCGGACCACGGGTGATGGGTTGCCGTGGTGTTTTGTTGTGCGAAAGCGTACGTTTTGCCTGGGTTTTTGCATGATTCCTCATAAAATCAGTCTTCAGGATGTACAAAAAGACTACATCATTTTCTACTAAATTCTCACTGTTACTGAGATTGAGTGTGTTAGCCCGAAGTGTAAACCCTTAAAGGTCAAGTCTGCAGCCCGTAGAGGGTCAAAAACACTGCAAATACCAGTGTTCTGGGCATGGTCGCCAAAGGCAAGGACGCTTGTGAATGCTTTTCTTGTTCCACATCCTTGTGCAGTATGTTGTACAAAGTGGCGAAACTGCTGTAATTCCCAGTGTTTTGGGCGTAAATACCAGTGTTTTGGGCATGGTCGCAAAAAGGCATGGACGCTTGTGACAACGTGTCTAGTTCCACAACCTTGCACGGTATGCTGTACAAACTGGCGAAAACGCTGTAAATACCATTTTTTTGGGCATGGATGCAATATGAATCATGTTCTTATCCCTCCCCCTAACCCCCCCCAACCCCCCCCCAACCCCCCCCCCCCCCCCCCCCCCCCCCCCCCCCCCCTCGCGGCAACCCAACACCCGTGGTCCAACTACCCATGTATCAGATCATCGCATGAGAAGTGACATCACATCACAGCAAGGGCACGTAAACCCCTGGGAGGATCCAAAAAACTGAATCCCTTTACAAGGGTTCCGAAAAAATGGTCCTAGTAGTATGGGTGCACTTTGGGGGTTTCCTTTTTTTGGATCCTCCGAGGGGTCGCCTCAGGTTTAGGGTTTAGGGTTTAGGGTTTAGGGTTTAGGCTTTAGGGTTTGGGGGTTAGGGTTTACACATATATATATATATATGTATAGGGTTCAAATTTGAAAAAAACAAACGGCCAAACACATAGCAAGGAACAACAACAAGCCGGAGTCTCCCTGAGAAGGCCTTGAAGAGCTTCGGCGCCACCAGCGTGAAGTCGGCAGACAGCAAAGCCTGAACACTTCTCAAGGATTAACAACAACTTAGGTTTAGGGTTTAGGGTTTAGGGTTTCGGGTTTAGGGTTTAGGTTTAGGGTTTAGGGTGTAGGGTTTAGGGTTTAGGGTTAGGGTTTAGGGTTTAGGGTTTAGGGCTTAGGGCTTAGGGTTTAGGACTTTGGGCCCAACACCTTAGTAGCTACCTTCCGCTAGAGTCGGATTTCGGGTTTAGGCTCGAGGCCCAAAAGCACACGCTCGGCAGCAGGGGCAGTTCCGGCTGGAGGCGTTCAAGAGGTCTTAGTGTTTAGGGTTTGGGGCTTCAGATTCAGATGTTCAGTTCTTCCTTGGGGGGCAAGGGGCCGGCGGGGAATTCAGGGTACATAGGGTTTTTGGGTTCAAGTGGGGAGGCTACATTAGGTCGCCAAAGGTATGCAGGCGAGGTTCATGGCCTCTCTAAGGCAGTTGCCTTTTTAGGATTCAGCTTCGGAGTCCCAACTGCGAAGGCAAGAATCCCGAAAGCCCTACACCCTAAGCCTTTCTTGCAACTTCTGGGCAACCGCGAACAGAACCCTGCAAAACACAAAAACCCCCAAACTCTGAACCAAAAGCCCCCATCATCCCTGAACTGCCTGAACCCTAAGTTTTTAGGCCCGAGACCATGGGAGCAGGGGGACCACCAAACCCTAGAACCCTGTAACCCTAGAACCCTATATCCACCAACCCTAGAGCCCTGCTCCCTAACCCTGCATCGCCTAACCCTAGAACCTTAGAACCTCCAACCCTAGAACTCTATATCCCCTAACCCAAGAACCCTCAGCCTAAACCCTATATCCTCTAACCCTAGAACCCCCTATCATCTAACCCTAGAACCCTGGAACCCGCAACCTGCAGGAGTCGCAGCGCCGTCCGCCGGAGGCCTGTCGTCGCGTCGTCACATCAAGAGAGGGGCTCACCCCTTGAAGGCCCCAAGCTTTTGCAAAATTGTTCCCTAGACCCGGGAGAGGAATAAAAAGGGTGCCCTTTTTGGTTTTTAAGGGGATTCTAAGGGACCCCAACCCTAAGAAAAGGGAATAAGGGCCTACTCCCGGTCCTAGTTCCAGGGTTCAAAGGGATTCCCGGCTGCGCGAAGCGCAGCAACCACCCAAATTGTGCAGCCGCTTTTGAATTTTAAACGCGAATGCCGCCCTATATTCCCACCTCACTGGGAATCAGCAGGTGCTGGTCACCCTTGGGTGGGATACGGACCAGCACGCTACCCGATTCAGTCTTTGGGCAGGGGGCTTCGGGATTCAGACATGGCTGTCTCACCCCAACACGGCCCAACATTTTGAGAACTCGTGGTGCCCAGACCCCTGGGAAATCTAAAAGTAGATCCCCTTAGGGTACTATTTGGGTCTTCTACCTTTTTTGGATCCTCCCACTTTAGGGCCCAAATGATTCGAGCAAGCTTTTTTGGGGGTATTATAGTATAAGTATAAAGGAGCCATAAGGGAATACTATAAGTAGTAGCATAAGCAGAATGTAGCAATGAGGAGATAAAGGGGCTCCATAAGCTAATAACTAAGGGGCTATCTTACCTGGGGACCCCTGTTTAGAGAACAAGACCAGCCGCATGACCCTTCAAAGGCCTACTTGGTCGACAGGGATTGGGGTTTAGGGTTTAGGGTTTAGGGTTTAGGGTTTAGGGTTTAGGGTTTAGGGTTTAGGGTTTAGGGTTTAGGGTTTAGGGTTTAGGGTTTAGGGTTTAGGGTTTAGGGTTTAGGGTTGGCTGTCCCCCTCTTCCCAATGGCCTAAATGCATCTGCCCGGAAGCCAGGCAGTTGGCCACAACCCCATTCAGCTCCACAATCCTCGGCTACAGGTTGCATATCTTGATAGCCCAGTGGGTATATCCGCCGAGGCCTCGGGCCGAAGGTGTATAGGTAGTCAGAACAGGCACCCCCCTCCAAATCCTCCCCCCAGACCCAAAGCCCTTTTTCGGACCCCTTTTTTTGCCTCAAATGGGTACCCCCCCTAGGTGAGCAGGGTCCGCAAGCGGATGGTTCGCCAGGACCAGAGGCAGTTGCAGCCCTTCCCAGCAGGGCCCCCCCCCTTTTCACACCCCCCCCCCACCCCAACTACCCCCCACCCCCCGCCCCACCCCCCCCCCCCTTGCGCCCCCCCCCCCCCCACCCAACCCCGCCCCCCTACCCCCACCCCCCCACCCCCCCCCCCCACCCCTACTACCCCCCACCTCCCCCCCTACCCCCCCCCCCTATCCCCCCACCTTCCCCCAAAAGCCACATGAGCGGCTGGGCTCGAGGTGCTAATGGACGCAACAAGAGGGGCTTGATGTTTGTCGGTGTCGCTATAGCACACCCAATGGTTCATAACCTAGGGGTGTCGCTTTTCAAGTGTTCCCATCGTTTTACAGGGTTTTGGGCATTCGTGTCCACCCCTTGCTTAATTGAATGGCTGGGGGTTTTGGCGCTTGCTCACAGAAGGTGTTTGTGAAAGGCGGAGTTTTCCTGCTCCGACGCGCTGGCTTGAGGGCCGGAGGCTCACTGGTGTGAGCACGGCCGCAAATCCGCCGAGGCCTCGGGCCGGAGGTGTATAGGTTGTCAGAACAGGCACCCCCCACCAAGCCACTTTTCGGACCCCTTTTTTTGCCTCAAATGGGTACCCCCCCTAGGAAACCGAGGTCCGCAAGCGGACGGTTCGCCAGGACCAGAGGCAGTTGAAGCCCCTCCCAGCAGGGCCCCCCCCCCTTTCCCCCACCCCCCCCCCCCCCCCCCCCCCCCCCCCCCCCCCCCCCCACCCCCCCCCCAACCTCACCCCCCGCTTTTCGAGGCTCAACTCCGGGACGAGCGAAGAGTAACCGAAACCCGAAACCTTCAATCTTAGCTCCCCCCCCGCCCCTTTCCCCTCTGCCCCCCTTCGCCCCCCCCCAACCCCTACCCGCCGGGCCTGGCTCAACCCTACGATCAATCCAAGCCGAACCGTCTCTTGAACCCTAAACCCAAAAAAACCCTAAACCCCAAAGCAAGAACCTTGAGCCCTAAGCCCTCAATCCTAAACTAACCCTAAACCATAAACCCGGAACCCTAAACCCGACTTGAGCGCTGCGGAATCACCATGCTCATGCGGATGCGTTGGGCCGGGCCGAGGCGGGTCGCGTAGCGTTAAAATTATGATAAGGGTACCCGTTAAAGGGGTAGGCTACTTTAGAAGGGAACCCAGAACCAAACAAAATAATAAAGGCAAAGGGTTCCCCCTGGGCGACCAAGATATAGGCTCCACGTAGGGGGTTTAGGGTTTTCAGGGTGCTCACTAGGAACGGACAGCTTCACCCGAGAGTAAGGTGTGCTTCTCTTTGTTTCAGGGGGCGTATGAGTGAGTTGCCGAGTCTGTGCCGCACACCTCCAAACCATAAACCCTAAACCCTAAAACCTAAACCCTAAACCCTACACCCCAAACCCTAAACCCCAACCCTAAAGCCCCAATACAAAGCAACTGCAGATCGCACTCTCTCCACTGCCAGCTTCGGGGTGTGTCATCGACGAATCCAGAAGTGCCCAGCAACCCAAGCAGAGAAAGGGGTGCCCCTTGCTTGATGAATCTATCGGGTTCTTAAGGGAGGGGGCGGTTCAAGGGGGCGTCTAGGGTTTAGGGTTTCAGGTTTTAGGGGTTAGGGTTGAGGGTTAGGGTTAGGGTTAGGCGGGAGGGGGGAGGGGGGTGTGTAACCCAAAGCTTCCTCATACTCCCCACCACTCCGTCAGGCTCCCTGAAGGTTCCCTAGGTACCTACCCGCCATGATACCCCCCTCCCTTAAGAACCCTATAACTAATGGGTTTGCCTGGGATCCTGACACTAAACAATGGAAATGACAACACCACCTTGGCAACCCAACAAGGAAGGCTTCTCACAGCCTTAAGCCTTCAAAACTGAAACCCTAAACCCGAAACCCCTAACACCCCTAACACCCCTAACACCCCTAACACCCCTAAACCCTAAACCCTAAACCCTAAACCCTAAACCCTAAACCCTAAACCCTAAACCCCTAAACCCTGGCCCAGGCACCCGGAGTCCAGAACCTGCCTGGCGGCTTCGGGGGCCTCTGCCTCTGGGGAGGCCTGGGCAGGCCGGAGGGGTTGAGGGGGTTGAGGGGGTTGAGGGGGTTTAGGGTTTAGGGTTTAGGGTTTAGGGTTTAGGGTTTAGGGTTTAGGGTTTAGGGTTTCGGGGAGTTGGGGGTTTGGGGTCGAGAGTTGGCAGACATCTCAGATTTCGGGCAAGCAACAGCTCTTAGAGCCTTAGGGTAAGGCTCAGTGTATCTCCCTTTTGGAGAATCTACAGGATCTGTGATTCGACCCCAAACCTTAACCCTCAACCCTCAACCCCTAAACCTTAAGCCCTAAACCCTAAACCCTAAGCCCCAAAACCCCTTCTTGAGACCTGGTCCAGGTTTGATCGGCCTAGCGGTTCTAGCTTTGGAGTTTAGGGAACCCGAAGCTATAGGCCTAAAAGGGGTTTAGGGTTTAGGGTTTAGGGTTTAGGGTTTAGGGTTTCATAACTTAGTGTTTCTGAGCAGGGAATTTGGAAACCAGGTATAGGGTGCTTCACTCCCGCTGGGATATAGGGGGCAGGGCTCGAGGTCTTAAAGGTTGGTTACCCTAAACCCTAAACCCTAAACCCTAAACCCTGGGAGTGTTTAAGAGTTTGGGCTTGCGGCCGGCAGGGTTCACGGTGTCGGGCTTGGTCTTTGGAACATTTGTACCCTGAACCCTAACCCTAAAACAAGAAGTCTCAATCTTCATCCTAAACCCTAAACCCTAAACCCTAAACCCTAAACCCTAAACCCTAAACCCTCAACCCTAACCCCAGAAGTCGCAATCTTCATTAGCCTGCGACAGCCAAAAGCATGAACCCCTTTGGAGCAGTCCGGCCAGCCCTTCCGTAGGGTTTGAGGGCTTAGGGTTTAGGGTTTAGGGTTTAGGGTTGAGGGTTGAGGGTTGAGGGTTGAGGGTTTAGGGGTTCGGGCACGCATTAGACTCCAAGCGCCTCAGGCCCCAAAGCCCCCAAAACCCCAAACCCTTCCACCCTGCTTTCAGCGGCGGCCTCCAGGAAGCAGCGGATCAGCTCCAGAGCTTCCGCAACTGGCCTCTTGTGCCCTACTTTGGAGAAGACCCCTCAAAGAAATAAATCTACTCTTTAGGTATAAGTAGCTAGAGTAGGAGCCCAAAACCAAAGAAGCATTGAAGTCTAGTGCTCCAAAACCCAGGTTGTGTTGAGGGCTTTATCTAAGCTGAGGGCTGGCTTTTTTAGGGTTTATCCGACTTTTGTGGCCTGAAAGGGGTCTTTGCCTTAAACCCTAATTAAAGCCCTAAACCCTAAACCCTAAAGCCTAAAGCCTTAAACTGTAGCATGCAAGAAGGATGAAGGTCACATGCACAGTGCCTAAGCTCACGAAAATGTGGGTCCCCGCTTGGGGTTCCTCTGTTACTACGGATTAGGGTTTAGGGTTTAGGGTTTAAGGTCCCTACCCCAAAAGAAGGCCGCAATGATTGTCGGAATTTGGGATTCGAGGATTTGGGGGTGTAGGAAACCTGCCACATTCCGGTGAGTTCTGGGATATGTCCGTAGTCCAAGCCCAGAGTCCAAACAGCTGGAACCTCTACCTTGCTGCAGCAAGACATATTTGGACATAACGTCGCGCAACAAGCGGAGGAGAAGGAGGAGAAATCTACAGCCCTCTGCCTCGCAATCATGCTGCCCAGTCACAGGAGGAATGCGTCCTCACTTGTCTCCTCGGATTCAAACAGTATGAAGGCTGAGGGCTTACACAAAACATGTGTTTTTCTTGTGTGTGTTGTTGGCCAACCCAAAATGGGTGCCAATAGATATGAGCCAAACCCGTACGGAAATTATGGACCGCATGTTTTTTCGCGCCATGGCCATTCTCTTCCGGGAACTTGCCAAAGATTCGAGAAATCGAGCCACAGCACTTTTCTAAAGCGCACGGGCTCCGGCTCAAGATATAGGGAGGCGGTTTTTTTCGCCTGGCAACAAAATGGTCCTCCAGTTGTGAGGAGCTACAAGATAGCTGAACAATCCGCATTCTGCAAACCCTTCAGAGCCTGGACTTCACTGGCAGAGTCGAGAGGTTTCCTGCTGCACGGCTGAGCCGCGAGCAACCCACTGCAGAGAAGCACAGGGAAGAGCTAAAACTCAAAACTTTCAAGAGACGCTACGCGCTGGTCGACTCCATCGGAATCGCAACGCAGATCTGAGCAAGATCATACCAGATAATTAGATAGATAGATAGATAGGTACATCAAGACGTATATGTATGTATGTATATACATATGTATATATATATATTATATATATATATATATGTACAAATATATAGATAGCATAATCTGGCATAGGGATCCTGGGGGTCTCAGCTTCAGGCACCCCAGGCTTCGACGGCCTCCCCCGCTTTCGACATCTCCTCCTCCATCTCCGCACGACGAGCCTCGCGCTCCGCTTGGCTTACCACCTTCTAGGGATGGCCCTTATAAAACCCTCTGAAAAAAAATATTCCTAAATATGGCCCTCTTAAACTTAAACCTTCGAGGATGGCCCTGAAAACCCTCTGAAAGATGTTCCTAAATATGGCCCTCTTAGACAAAATAGAGGGAAAATTATGAAATATCCCAAGGGCCTACCGAGCCTTGTAACACCCACCCAGACGGACCCACCAGAAGACAAATCCTCCGACGGCACCCAGGGCCAAGAGGGTCACCACGACACCACCGGCAACACTGGCATCATAGAGCAAGGAGATCGTCAAGCAAAGGCCTGGTACAATCACGAACATCACCAGGACGTAGATCACGGGCACCAGGCGCCAGTAAGACGCATAGAAACCAAGAGTGCACGCAGCTTTAACGACCACCCTGCGCATCAGTGGCACTGGGAACCAGATCAAGATGCCAAGGATGTTGAACAGCAAGTGGCAGAAAGCAATTTGGAGGCTGCTTGCCTTCATAACTGCCAAAGCCGCAAACATACTTGTAAACGTGGTACCGATATTTGCTCCAAGAGTCATTGGCAGCATCTTGTGAACTGGCAAAACCCCGATTCCAACCAATGGGGTGAGAGCCGACGTGGTCACAGAGCTCGACTGCACCACAATCGTGATTGCCAAGCCCAACAACATGGCCAGGTAGTCGTTCATCTTGCTTCCCTTCATGATCACCTTCTTGGCCTGGCCCATGATGAGGCTGTGCAAAAGCTTCACCATGACAAAGAGAGCTCCACACAGGACAAGCAGTGCAAGTATGAGTCCAAGAATCCCCCCGGCTACATCACCAGCATCCTTTAGGAAGCCACCTTTGATAGTTCTTCCTGTCTCAATGTTTTCTGTGAAATATGCACCTGCATTGGTGTAGCAGGTGCCGGAGTCACAAGAAACGCCGCCAGTGCAAGCAGTCAAGAAGGTCTCATAGGACTCTTCTGCGACATTCTTCCAGGCTTTGCTCATATCTGAACTCACACAGTACTTTGTGCAGTCTGTCCCGCAGTTCAAAGCCTCTGGGGCACCGAAAGACAAGGCTTTGATGGTGTTCTTATCCTTGTTCAAGAACAGCTTGGTGAAGGGGCTCACAATCTCTTTGGTAGGAGAGGGGAATGTCAAGTCGGACTCTCCACCTCCCATGGCGTCCTCTTTGAGACCCTTGGAGATGAAGTAGAGCAAGCCGCCTTCTCCTGTGATGGCAGCGAGGATGATTTCGATGGGCAGCACCGTCAGCACTGTCAACATATTGAACATGTCGTGAACTGTCGCTCCAGAGAAAGCCCTCTCCAATTCCATGCGATCTCCTGAGTGCGCCATTGAAACAATGGTGTTCGTGACAGATGTGCCAATATTGGCGCCCATGATGACGGGGATGGCATTGCGGACTGACAGGACATCAGCGCCCACCAAACCCACCACGATGCTAGTACTGGTAGAGGAGGACTGCACGAGAACCGTGGCCAAGATGCCCACCATCAGACCTGCGATGGGATTGTCGGCAAAGGTGAACAAGTTGCCCGCGCCTTTGCTGCCAAGTGCACTGAATGAACCACCCATCAGGTCAAGACCAAAGAGGAAGAAGTACATAGAGATCAGCACGCCCGTAATCTTCACAGTCGCCACGAGGGCGAACATCCCAGTACTCTGCTCCTTTGCTTGAGCATCTTCGGCCATCGTGATCGAGCTGGAGATCTGCAACCAGGTCAAGCTTCCCGTTGAAGCCAAAATGCTGGACAGCCGGTAACAATGGGTACCACGCTGGATGCCAAGAGGATTATCACATGCCAACCCTACCAGTATGATAACAAATGAAATACCCTAAACCCTAAACCCGAAAACCCCAAACCCTAAACCCTAGAGCCTAAACCCTGAACGCTGAACACCAAACCGTAAACCCTTACTAAATCCAGAAAAAAACACCAGGCAACCAGTCCAGCCCATTTCCTGGTGTCAAGGCGCACCACGGACCTACGAAACAATCAACTTCGTGTGCTTCGGGGATTCTGGCCTCGAAAGGGGAACCTGTATCGGCATTCCCTAAACCCTAAACCCTAAGCTCCTGCCTAAAGCTACTGCAAGTGTGCATGAACCAGGACATCGAACATGTACGTAAAACATATGTATATATGTATATATATATATACAGATAACTAGAAAACATACCACATGTGTGTGTATATATGTATATATATATATATTATATCATACATATGGTGAAAAAATATATATACAATGTATTTAGGCACATGGACCCTTAGGGCTGGATAACTTGGCCCAGTGGCCCATTGGCGCGCCCAGCCGCGCAGCGCGCGCGCCGCGCGCATGGCGGCAGCGCGCCGTGCACTGTGGATCTGCTGCAAGAGAGCTGGGTTAGGGTTTAGGGTTTAGGGTTTAGGGTTTAGGGTTTAGGGTTTAGGGTTTAGGGTTTAGGGTTTAGGGTTTAGGGTTTATAGGGCTTAGGGCTTAGGGTTCAGGGTTCAGGGTGGAGGCTGAGCTCTCCCGTCTGGTGGGACATAGTATAACTAGGATGGCCCTTAAAACCCGCTGAAAAAGATGCCTGAGTATCCCTTTTTTGCTTAAAGGGGTTTATAAGGGAACCTAAACCCCCCAAAAAGGGAATAAGGGTACTACTGGGCATCCTAGAATTCAGGGAAAACAATCAACTGTCCCGAGGGCCTACCGAGTTAAGGTTACTATACAGGAGCCCCTTCAAGGACCAAGTGTATACTGCACCCGAAACCCTAAACACTGAACCCTGGTACGTGGGCGTTTATGCGATGAATCTACCGTGGCGTCGACGGTGGGCCTCGTCGTCGGAGTCTTCACTCCTGGTGAAGAGAAGGCCTGGCAAAAGTTCCTAAACCCTAAACCCCAAAACCCTAAACCTCAAAACCCTTAAACCCTAAACCCTAAACCCAGGATAAACGCCCGCTAGGTCTGGGGGATGTTCAGGGTTTAGGGGCTTAGGAGAGGTTCAGGGGGTTTTCTGATTTCCTAACGATGGCCCCCCTTATTAAAACATAATAACATGAACTTCGCTAGTGTTTCCTTGAGCTCTGTTGAAAGAGGAATGAAACATCATTCCTGAGGCGACTAAGTTAATTGACTCTAAACCCGTATGTGCACCATGACCCCGAACCTGTTTGGGGCAAAGTCTTTTCGTTTCAGGTAAGGTCTGCTTGCACCCACACGAGCCCGTGCAGGAGCCGTGGCACGGCGTTGGGGGGTTTAAGGGCTTAGGGGTTTAGTTTCAGTTTTAGGGGCTTATGGGTTGGCGTGCGGTTAGCCCTTGGCAGAAGGGAAGACTCTTGCTCTTCTCTCAAGAGATCATAACATAAAGACCTGCACATGCTAAACAAGAAACGCAGCAGCGGTGCTCCTCCAAGACAGTGTTCCCTTGGAGGACCAAAAGCGCAGCATTGGGGTATCTAAAGAGCCGTCTACACAGGACTGCGAGTCTGGAGGTTGACCTGGCCGCCATCTTCTCGACGGTTTTGGGTTGAGGGCGTGGGGTTTAGGGTTCATTGAAAACTTTGCGGCTAGTTCAGCCAAAACTGACCCTGAGAAAAACGGAAAGTTGCTTGATCGCATGCTTGTCGGTATGCATCTTTTCTTAGCAACAAGGGTCGAACAAGAGCCACCCCCCTCATCCCTTAGTGCATTGCAAAAGGCAAAAGGGGGGCACTAAACTGACTGAAGGACTTGGTCGCCCACTCACCAAATTATGATAAGGGTACCCTTTTTGGGATTGGATACTTTCTAATATAAGGGAACCTAGAGCCAAAAAAAACGAACCGATAACCAAAAAAGGGCAACAGGGTACCACTGGGTTACCAAGAGGAGTATTCCCTAAGCGATAAACGGAGTCTCAGGAACATGCGGAGCATTCGTAGAAAGTGCGGTTCCGTCGGTGCACTTGCTGTCTGCTCAAGCCATAGACCCAAATCACCCTAAACCCTGAATCCGAAACCCTAAACCCCAAACCCTAAGCCTTAAACCCTAAACCCTAAGTTCAGCCCTGAAGAATTGATACTCTTCTTGGTAGCCCAGTTCCCATATTTACAAAAAAAAGCAGGGTGTAGGGTTCAGGGTCAGCCTTTTTTTGGGTGTTTTGCAACTGTTATCCGGGAAGGTCTCCCCTGACCTCTACATCCTAACTCCTGAGCCCTAAGCCACTTTGGTTATGGGTTTAGGGTTTAGGGTTTAGGGTTTAGGGTTTAGGGTTTAGGGTTTAGGGTTTAGGGTTTAGGGTTTTTAGTGCTCAGGGCAGGGCTTCAGCTCAAGGTCTTGTGTGTTGAATATTCCCACGGGTTCACACACAGAATAAACCCAAAAAACAAACTCTAGTTCACGATGCCGAGCTTGCTAAGAAGACCATAGAAAAGCCTTCGCAACATTATCAAGCCGGCCCGGAACCCCAAAAAAAAAACATCAACGCGCCAGGCGTGACAGCGCAGGCAGCGCCAGGCTGCCCCTGCCACAACGGCATCCGTGTGCGTCAGCCAGGGAGTGACCTGGATCGGATTGGGGGGGGGGGGGGGGGGGGGGGGGGGAGGGCGTCCCTAAACCCTCTAAACCCTCTAAACCCTCTAAACCCTCTAAACCCTCTAAAGCCTCTGAACCCTCTGAACCCTCTAAACCCTCTAAACCCTCTAAACCCTCTAAACCCTCTAACCCACTAAAGCCTCCGAACCCTCTAAACCCTCTAAACCCTCTAAAGCCTCAAAACCCTGTAACGAATGAACAGCTTTGCAGTTGGGCAACCCCAGGACCCTCCGAACCCTGCCTCGGTCGGCGATAAACTTAGAACCCAGAGTACCCAAGGAATACGACGGGATTGAAGATTTAGGGTTTAGGGTTTATGTTAGGGTTTAGGGTTTAGGGTTTAGGGTTTAGGGTTTAGGGTTTAGGGTTTAGGGTTTAGGGTTTAGTCATAAGTCTCCATAGCCATGCCGCTTGAGCTTCCCCCCCGCTTCACTTCTGAGTGCTGCTTGGAGCTTTGTCATTTGACCTAGGAGAAGTACCATGAACGACATTGTTTTTCAGCTACTTGTCAGAGATATTAGGAAAATCACAACAATTACACAACAACGGTGCAAAGCTGAAATGCAAACACCATGATGGGACTATGCCAGTCGGCGAAAGAAAGACGAAATCTAAACATGTACAAGCTGAAACCCCTGCGAAACTAAGTCTATCTTTTTCTCGCAGCTGCAGAGTCTGGTCGATCCCCCCTGTTTCTGTAGCGGCAGCAACGTCAGCGCTTCAGCTGAGACGTCTGCGTTTGTTCTTTTGCTTCAAGGCATCTGAAGCCCAAACAAAACAAATATACATGGCTTGGGCCATTGAGCGCTCTTTCGCTCCCATCAAATGTACAGTTGTGATGTTCTTGTTGAAATCACCCTGTGGCAGTGCTGGATTGTACGAAGCCGAGCAAGACGCCCTTGCAGGGCAGGGAGTCATGTGGCGAAACAGGGGTTATATTTGAAGCAATTTAGATTACAGCAAAACATACACATATCCCAATGCCAGAAACTTCTATATGCTGCCCGGACTCTTCCCGTCGTGTGTCTGGCCAGAGGCCAAGCGTATTTGAAAATGAGGAAGCGTGGAGGAGCGGTGTTGAACGTGGCTGAGAATGACTTCGTTGGTGGGAAGGGGGAAAAGTTCCTTCAACCAGTCTGGGACTGTTGCCGACGTGCTGAGAAGTCGGCGGCTCTTGGCCTTTTGCCGTTCCTTTTCTTCATTGCTCCCTTGCTGTTGTGTTTCCTCCATTCCTGTCTCTGGCTTTTCATCCTTCGAGTCCTTCTCATCCTTTTCGTCTTTCTCAGCCACACCTTGCTGAACCTTCCATTCTTCAGCCTGCAGCTTCGTTTGGATACTGGTTCTTGAACACAGCGAGCAGTATTCGACTTGCCATGAACCCAGCTTCACACAAAGCCCTTCTAGACTGCACACATTGCATTACCCGTTGAGTAACAATTGTGCAACAGCAGCTCTTGTAGGTACACAACAGTCAAGCCTTACATGGACAAAAAGAAGATCTGGCACGTTTTAGTCATAGCGTTTTGCTGGAAACATCAATGCTCACTCGTGCGTCCGCCTCGTCCTCTTTCTCCTCAGCAGCCAGCATACTTCTGGCGGCGGCGACTGCCGGATCCTCCTCCGTTTCCAGCAGCCCCTTGGTATCAACGAAGAATTCGGACGATAGCAATCATGGTCTGCAAAACCAAACTTGCATACTTCCTCAAGAACCAGCCTTTCTGCCCCAAGGAACCCAAAAAAAACACTTGCAGTACACTTCATTACACACCCAGTCACATTCTCTTCCAGATCCTCGCCGTCTTCGTCATCGTCATCGTCATCATTTTTCTTGCTTTGTTTCTTTCGTTTCTCGTCCAAGGCCAAAAGTGCCGCTTCCAAAGAAGCACGGTGCTCTTCACTTAACTCGGCCATGGCCTCTTCGGTCTTGAGCAGCATGCGAATTTTTGCGATTTTGGTTGCGTTTTTTCGCATTGCAAGACCATATGCCTTCATGAGCTGCGACAGAGAATCTGAAGACAAGCGGAGGATCTTTTTTGACCGAAGCAAAGACACCAACAGGGAGCATCCCCTCAACGACCGCCGGAAGAAGCAGCTGGATCTGAGCTTCTTTGCCAAGTTTCCGTGTGTCCAGTGGCAGCTCCACTCATGGGCAGAGACCTGCAGCAGCAGGCACTTGCTTTACCAGAATCTTGCACTTCAGCTGCCCCGGACCTCTGCCACGTTCAGCAGGAGCGTGTGCACGGCTGTCCTTGGTGTTCTCAGTCAAGCGTTTGAATCAAAAAGAACCGAACACCAAAAACATCTTACTGTTGACGTCCACTGCTTGGTTCAGCCAGCCGAGAGGCTGTGTGTCATCCCACACCAATGCCGGGACAAACTCACCCTCTTCCAGCGGATCTCGGAACTTCAGGGGGGCGTCTTGGTTTGGCACCCGAATCTCATCAACGATTCCATCGGGCAGCGGCCCAGCAAACTTCACAGAGGCTTCCAAGAGCTTGATCGCCTTTATCGTGCGTGGATGGTGTTGAAAGCATGAGTACTCGTAAACGTGAAACAAATCTGTCCTCAGTAGGTACGTTTCCTAACTACTGTTTCAGAAAGGGCACATACGTGATGCAGGGGGTGTTGCCCAGCACAAGATACCACTCATTTTTCACATGCAAAAGCATGCCACGTTGGCAAACTGAGGCTGTCCAGAAACGATCAGCAGCTTGTTCGGGTTCCACACCAGACCTGTTCAAGTAAGCACAGACAACATTCGGCCACCTGCCCCCCAACCCTCCCACTCCCATTGCCCTGCCTTTGTGCGCATAGAAACCCTTTCATGGCATTCAAGTGCTGTCTGCTGTGGTGGTGCGCTGTCGTGGTTTCGTAGTCCTTCAAGATCTCATCCACCAGGATGCTGCTTTTCGCAACACCTCAGCAGCCAGCTTAGAACAAGAATTTCGTAGGGTGAGTTCGAAACCTAGTGCACTAGCGTTCCCACTTTGCTTTCAAATGTCTTCCATAATAAAGGAGCGTAAGAGCAACACGTGTGTACATACATATGGCTATATATACTCACATCTTTGTGTGTTCAGCTTGTTATAATTGAGTTGATGATATGCATTGTCTGGCTCTCACAGCACCTGCGATGTGGCATTGTCAGTTTTCATGTGCCCAGAAAAAGTGTATACATATATATGTAAATAAATAAATAAATATAAATATTAATATATATATACATATATATATATATGTGTGTGTGTGTATAGCAACACATGTGCAGTATGTGTTATAGGTGTATATGTTTTAGCTATACGTACAGGCAGCAAAGTGTAAATGGCGGATTAGCCGCTGCTCAGTTTTAAAAAGTTTCCACAGCAAGCACACAAACCCAACGGCGGCATATCCGCTCCATGTTGCTGCAACTCTGGCGGACTAGCCGCTGGCGGATTAGCCGCTGCAGCCTTAGTTGCGGCGGATTAGCCGCGGGCGGATAATCCGCCGGCGGAGGTCAGCCGCCCTCCGCTAGCATGAGCATGTCTTGAGTTGTGGTCCAGGCCAGCCTGGGGCGGATTAGCCGCCTGGAATGCTTAATGTATAGAAAACAGTGTACTACGTGGGCTATTCAATCAATAAGACTTCTCTCTCTTCAACTTTTCGGAACACGGCAAACGTTTCTAGCTGCAATTGGTGTTTTGCATTTGCATTGAACTGCAATGTAAAAAAATCGAGACGACTATCTTATGTATTATAGTTTAACTCGCGAGAAAGTGCCAGCCAGGGGCAAGGCAGCATCCGTGACAACTATTTCCAAACGTTTTCCGGACCAGATACTCCACTCAATAAAATGTAGTAAAACCCTTCACCCCGAGAATGTGGCTGACAAAGCAGCAGAAAAGCCAATGAGGCTCAGCAACTGGAAGGGGCGGACTCAGGCTTCCAAATGCTTGGTCTGAGGCCTCTCACCTCGCAGCCCTCGTAGTCCTCACACAACAAGTCCACACCTGCAGGCACGTCTGGCTTCTCTGGCGTGGAGCACTTGCTTGCAGTTGCTTTGATGGCTACAGCCTGCAGGTTCGAAAGTGATCCAGCATCTCTTTTGGTAGACCTTTTGACGGCATCTTGCATCGATGCAAAAACGTCCTCTACGTTGCTGGAGGAGCTGACAGGCGGAAACCAAGAAGTCAAAAGGTCACGAACGGTCGGTGTGACCTTGAAGGCATGCTGCTCAAGCACCGAAAGGATCTCCCGATAGCACTGCCAGGCAGTGTGCGGACAGTATCCGCCGAGCAAGGTGCTAGTGGAGCTAGCTTGCTCCATGCGCAGGCACAGGCTCCATTCCTCCTGCAACTGCTGCAAAACTCGCTCCTTCACATCGGTCATGCAGAAGCCAGCGGACTCAACCAAGAGGCTGGCAGCAGAGCAATGGCCACTTTGCAAGACCAAAGCGTATTGCGTGAGCTCGAAAGCAGCAGCCAACACTGCATCAATGTGATCGCCCAGCAGAGCATAAGTCGAATCACATCTGCGGAAATCGATCCTCAAGACCTCAGTGTCACAACCCTTACAGCATTGCCACAGTTCCAGTGCCTGGTTAAGTTACACGTCACGTTCCCTTCTGCGGATCCCCTTTGACTTGGTTACTCGCCGAGACACAGAGTTAGTGCATGTCAGCAGCCAGTTGACCCTAAATACCCGAAGTTGCAAAGTCTGGATCACAAGAAGCAAGAAACTTCAGGCGGGAGCTTCCGCCAAATTTTTTGGCCTAATTGAATGAGCAGAACCCCTGAAGAAGGCAAAGGCTTCTTTGCAAGCCTCAAAATTCGCAGAAGCAGTAGACTAGTTTCTCTGAACCTTTAGCTTCAGTTATCCACCCGCCTTGACTAATCATGATGTTGGGTTACCCTTTCACTACTACAACGAAGCTTACACAGAGCATCCATTCCACACTCCACTCATGCGTTAAAGACTGTGCGTTCGGCCTTGCTTGATCTCGCTAGGAGGAGCATCACAATGAAAACCCACTGTTGCCTACTGCACTGCAAGGCAGAATGCTTTGTTCAAAGAACATGGGGTTTGGGAGGTGAATGCTTGGGCTGCTGCGAAAAGAACCGAGATACTCAGCAACTGCGTCCAGGTAATTCACTCGGGCTCAACACATTTTCTAGGTGGCCAGTGATGTGGCAGTTATTGGATCAATACATCCTTCCCGGGAAGTTAAGATACAGCCAGGCCTCTAGTTCAGGATGCGAAATCGCTAGTTTCGCAGCAATCATCCAGGTTTTCCAAGCTCCCCAGCACTGAAGCGTCAGCGGCTAAGCCCGCTTTAATTTCTGCGAAGCAGATAATGAATTTGAATGCGTGTTGCTTGCACTCTCCGGCACAAGCCATAGAAACGACGAAGTGATGGCACAAGAGCATCAGGCGTCACACATGCCCAGTCACTTGGAGAGTTGCCGAGCCCACCATGCTGCCCAAATCCTGATCTTCTGTCTCCACTCTGCAGCGTGCTTTTCCCAAGCTCGCTTCTTGTGATTTTGAGCATTTGGTGTAACTGGCGGCGAGCAGGGCCAGTCCTCACTCGAAGTTGCATGCTTGGCGGCTGCCACCTTCTGGTAATCCTCATCTGCTTTCATCATTCGCACAAAGTTTGTTCTTTTAGCCAGCCTGCGAGCGGCCATGAACTCACATTCCTCTGCCGACATCATGTCGAGAAAGGCTGCTGAGGATTGTAATTGCGTTGGGCAAAAAGGTCTGTGGCGAAAATGGTTGCCATGCAGGAACCCACAACGACGAGTAAGAGACTTACAGGCAAGGTGCCTTGATTTGACACTCCACCCTATAACAACTGTTTCTGACATAGCTCTCTTCGCTCATTATGCAAAGCTCCACTTCGAAAGAAGGTGCCCTGGATTGCCCGTTGTGTCGCAAGCTATCCATTGCGTGAGGCTCTAACCCGGAGCACTAACAGACATTTGCAATGACAGGGTCCCTAATCATAATCCAGCCCAGCTACACCAGCAGCGTCAGTTTGTCCACTGAAGTCAGCGTCCAACTTCAGCAGCTTCAAGCTTTGGTCTCCAAAACCCTCCATCAGAATATCACGAAGCATGGCATCCCATCTTCTGCTGTTCACGAAGGCACAGTGGTCGTGCAAGGCATACTTCTTGTTCTTTTCTCTTTGCTTGGATGCAGTACAAGTGAAGACAAGCAACAGCACGAAGCTACTACGAAGCCAGCTCTGCGTGGTTAACGTATAAATATGAATATGAAAAAGTATAAGCTTAAATATTGTAATGATGCTTTTAATCATACTGAGAATTAGTATATTTAAAAAGATATAAGTAGAAATAGAAACATCAACACAGCCAGGCAACCAGTTTGACAGTCATGTCGCAGTACGGCTGGACCAACGAGGCCATGGAGCGGAAAAGGAGCTGAGAATGTTCATCCATGAGTGCCTTCGACATTGGGCCAAAGCAAAGCAAAGAAGGTTCGAGCGAGTGCCTAGCAAGAAGAAACATGTGAGTTATGCTTTGCCCTTGCTACCAAGACTCTCGGACACAGAGGTCTATGACCTTTTCATACTGGCTGTTACCGGTCCCGGGACCAGCTTTCTTGTCCATGACCTTGCTGAAAGGGTTGATTCCTTCCTGGCAGGCATGTGGCTTGTAACCCAGAGCAGATGCAACGTAAGCATCAGTTTGGCTACAGGGTCGGTCCTCCATGCAACTCCAGAACAACAATACCAGGTTAGCACTGAATTGGTAGTTCTTGGCCATGAAACCCCAGCTCATCCAGCGTTTTTGCTCATATGAGCTAGAGCCTTTCCTGCCACACAAGTGTCTTGCCATGAGCGAGGCACCACTACATACTGTCAGGACAAATGCAGACAAGTAGCCGACAAACATCGTTCAAGATGCTGACCACACGTTCAAACGACACGGCAGTGTCTTCACTGACAGGGAAGCCATTCCTTGAATCCAAGCAGACAGAAGCCAACCTCCTGGTGTGCGACTTGCTTAGATTAGGTTTGAGTCTAGGGGCTCCTCCAGAATAGCCTCGCCGAAGACTTCTTGGAGGACATCACCTTGCTCGGCCTCAGAATTTGACAACAGGCCCAGCAGCAGAGAACACAGTTCAAGAAATCTAGCGGCTAAGCTCAGTCCGATAAGGAAAAGCTCTATTACTTTGCAATTACATCAACTCATCTCTCAGCACGAAGAGCACCACAGGCAATAGCTGCAGCCAGGAATCGATTTCCAAATATCGCAAACCAGCTTGCTTCCATCCTTGACCAACCCTGGCTGTGTGCCAGGGTGCCCGGCGGGATTTGAACAACCAGTTCGTCAAGTTGAACATACCTTGGAGTGGCATGGATACAAGCAACTAGAAACAGCAGAGGAGCCGTGGAGGAGATCCGTCTATGTACCCTGTTGTGGCAGCTAATTGTGCTGAGCCAGCGTGCGCCTGATGCTGGCACTGCAATTCATGACCTTCAGAAAATGGGCGTGCAGTTTGTGCCTGGGCTGCACTCCTTTTCATCAGACACAGCGACCAATTAGCAAGCAGCAAAGCAGACAAAGACAGAGAAATTGGAGTAAAATATTGATTGATTCTCTGAAGCACAGCTCATCCCGCACCAGCTGCACAGCCACATTTCTCGAATGCAGAAACATGACTGCCGAGAATAACGGAGAGCCTTCGTCGGCGTGGAGCACGAGTCTCAGATGTTGGCCTGCACATCCGGGCCTGTCTGTTGGGGTATCCCATTTGGCAGTTCCGTCCACTTTGTTCCATCGGAAAGCAGCGTTGCCATGAAACAAGCGAACCTCGCAGGTGGGGTCGACACGTTTCAAGGGCTCTTGGGGCACTGCCAAGTCCAGCTCCAACTGGCTGAGGCAATTCAAGACAGCCCGTAGATGTTCCCTGGCAGCGATTTTCTTTTGCTTGATTCGTCCAATCACTTTTGGCCTCAGCGGAGATATCAGACTCTCAATGACAGGCACATGTCTGCTAGTTCATGCAAGAAACATCTTGGCAACCGATGCGTGCTTTGTAGTCGGCTCCAAAAAGCGCTTGGCCAGGTTGTCTGCAATCACAGCTGCTTCTTCCATCTTCACAGCATTGCTGGCAGGGGCTACTTGTAGGTCCGACAGACGTTGTAGGGTCCACGACACCAATGTTTCATTCACGGCAACCAAAGGCACCCAGACCTGACAAGATAAATGCTCAGATAAGACTGAAAGGCTCTGTGTGCGTGTGCTGAAAACATTGAGAGCATCAGTCTGTTCAGGCTGGCTGCGTCCATCTTTGCTTTGGGCGAAGCATCCACTATCATACCAATGGCAGGAAAATTCTGCCCATCGAGCTCCTGGCAACAAGGGAATGCAGATCAAAGCTTATCTTGGCTGTTGAAAAAGGCAGTCCTTGTGAATGGCCGTTGCAGCCCTTCTCCAGTATCTATAAACAAAGTCGCAAGCCAACCTGCCCAAGAGTATGCTCGAACAAGACATGATTTTGCAATGTTCTGTCGCTGGCCTGTGGTGGTGAGTCGGGCTCAGCGATGAAAGGCCCAGCTGCTCTAGAGTGCTCTCATCCGACTTGCCACAGAAGCCAGATTTCTTTTGCAAGAATCTTGCGAGAGCCAGGACATGCTTTGCCTTCCTTTCTCGCTTAAGCGCCCGTCCATCCCTCAGAGTTTACATTGAAAATGCATCACATGGTCCAAATTAATTACCACTTCAAAGTCAGTCCAATTGCAGACCAGAAGCTTTTTTGCCGGATGAAAAGCGTCACTCTTCTCGGGCGTCGGGACTGACGGCTGCAGCTGGGAAGCCAAGGCAACTTCACCAGCCTGTGCCAGCAGATGGACCATCCTTTTCTGAACCCGAGAAACGGGTATTCGATCCTGGCATGCGAGTCTACATGTCTGCTTGTGTGTGCGTGCGTACGTGCGTGCGTTTCGGCGTGCCTCCGTGCCTGCGTGTCTGTGCGTGTGTGTGTGTGTGTGTGTGTGTGTGTGTGTGTGTGTGTGTGTGCGTGCGTGCGTGGGTGTGTGTGTGTGTGTGCTTGTGCGGCTGCGGCTGCGTGCGTGCTTACGTACGTTAGTGCGTGTCTGCCTGCCTGCATGCCTCTGTGTCTGTGTGTCTGCGTGTGTGTGCGGCTGCGTGATTGTTTACGTGCGTTCGTGCGTGTGTGCGTGCCTGTGTGCCTCTGTGTCTGTGTGTCTGTGTGTCTCTGTGTGTGTGTGTGTCTGCGTGGGTGTGTGTGTGTGTGTTTGTGTCTCTGTGTCTGTGTCTGTGTCTGTGTCTGTGTCTGTGTCTGTGTGTGTGTGTGTGTCTGTGTGTGTGTGTGTGTGTCTGTCTGTCCGTGTGTGTGTG